TTTGTTCCACTGAGAGCATTTGACATATCTTGCCTTTCTAAATAAAGTGAGCATTATTTATATATTCGTGAGCTCTCTTATTCACCTGTCTCACTCCTAACACTCAACACAGGGCCATGCATAAAAGAGCTGAAAAATATGTTTTCAACCAGGGCTCACAATCAAGTAGCTTGTGAGCCAGACATGTTTTGTTTGGCCATTATCACATTTTTTAAACTGAATTCGAATGTCTTTAGGCAGGGCATTCATTCTCCAGTTCACCACAGATCCTACTGTTTCTAACTATTGAATACCACTTCACTGTTTTCTCTTCCTGCCTAGTGAAGGCATTTTAATTTGTGCCCCGTATGTTAAATAAAAGGAAAAATTATTGCAAAATACTCTTATCCATATGCCATGATTTTCTAACCTATGGTACTGAAGCCTCTTTTACCTGTCAGTAAGTTTTGAGTGTGTGCTTTAATAAAACTGCTGTTTCTTAAAAATGTTCTATTCCCTGGGAACATTCTCACAATCCAATACAGAATGATACGCACCAGATTACACAGCGTGTATAAAATAAATGTATTTACAAGAAAAGAATATAAGGAAATTCACCAAAATGTCAGGTTATTTTTTTGTGTGTGTGAGGAAGATCAGCCCTGAGCTAACATCCATGCCAATCCTCCTCTTTTTGCTGAGGAAGACCGGCTCTGAGCTAATATCTATTGCCAATCCTCCTCCTTTTTTTTCCCCCAAAGCCCCAGTAGATAGTTGTATGTCATAGCTGCACATCCTTCTAATTGCTGTATGTGGGACGCGGCCTCAGCATGGCCAGAGAAGCGGTGCGTCGGTGCGCGCCCGGGATCCAAACCCAGGCCGCCAGCAGCGGAGCGCACGCACTCAACCGCTAAGCCACGGGGCCGGCCCATAAAATGTCAGGTTATTAATCTCTAGGTTATGAGTTTATGGATGATTTTTTTCCTTACTTTTTGTATTTCTAGTTTTCTGCAGTGAGCATAAATTATATTTATAATCAGGAAAAAAATCCTTTTGCAAAAAAATAAACTTTCATAAATTCAAATTGACTGCTCTTCATGCTCTTTAAATTTGGGATGAAGAAAAATATTTATTGAGTGCCAACTTGGTCCTAGGCATGGTGCTGGATGCTTTACATTCAATGACGAAAATCCTGAGAGGAAAGGATATTAATGTCCCCATTTTTGAGATACAGAACAATTACTTCTGTTTTATTTTATGGAAAAATCTTGAAATCTCTAGGACACAAGGATATAGAAATCTGGAGAAAAGATGGAGAAAAAAAGAGAAGACCTTAAAGAGAATTAAAGGCAGTGAAAGAAGATAATGGAGGATAGGGCATAGGAAATAATAATTTATTCAGGTACGTTCATCAAATATTTAGTTTCAACCATTTCAAGACACTTTGCTGGTGACCATGGGGTATACACAGATGGATGTGACAAAGATCAAAAGACAGCATACATATGACAGTTCTTCTACACACATTCAACATAACATCCTGCATTAATGGAGCAGAATAAAATTGAGACAACATGCTCCCCAACAACTAAAACGAAGAAGGGAAGTAAGAGTCGTCTGAGAGTACAGAGTAACTGCAAAGTGAGTTGAGAGGAAAAAGGAATTAATTCTGGCTGGAGGGATGAAGGGGACAGGGGAAGAGGGGGTGGGATGAAGGGGACAGGGGAAGAGGGGGTGGGATGAAGGGGACAGGGGAAGAGGTGGAGGGATGAA